TGCATGCCTACTACATGCAAGGCAGCACGCTAGTCAATACGGAAGATGACAGTAGGACGCGGTCACGGCCACCTAGAACTCACAGCCTAGGGAAGGGGCGAGGGCAGTTCCCTCCCCCAACCCTGATCACCTGGCCAAACCCCACGTGGCAACCCAAGTACCTGCCGTCTCCATCCCACCCAAGAAGCTGCCAAGCGCAAACTCAATGCAGCCACCCTCAGGCGGCTCTCAGAGAAGGCTGAGGCTGCCGAGATAAACTCACTGTCTCTGGCTCCTCCACAAAATCATCTGACTGCAGCCCTGTTTTCCCGACCCCTTCTCACAACTCTGTCCCTTCTTCTCCAAGGCTAAACCATCTACTTGTAGTCAGAATCCCTTCTCTTCCTGCCACCTTGGGGGCGTGTTCCATCACTATTCCCCTTTATTTACAGTTCCCTGTATCTTCAGGTCTTTCTGGTGCATCTTTCTCATCAGCATAGAAGCTTCTTCAGGTGTCCTTTACAGCATGAAGAGATGTTTTAAAGTCCTGATGCTGAATCTCCCTTCTCCCTTCCCTCCTCAACCTCAGGTCTCTTAAGTGGTTCGCACCTCAGCTCACTGCAACTCACCTGCAGCCTCAGTCAGGCTTCACACCTTCACAGCGCCAGCCCCTCCCCACTCATCTCTGGTCTCACCCCCCTCTCTACTCCAGCCCCTCATTACCCGGAGTATCTCCCTAAATGGAGAGCATACCATGTCACCCCCCTGCCCAAACTGTTCAGTGACGCCTCTCCCTGTACAGGATAAGACTTAAATCCCTCAGGCACAGCAAACCAGAGCTCGTGGCAGCTCAGGACCTGATCCCTTGCCCACCTCCCGACAACGTCCCCTCCCACTGAGCACTGCAGCAACGCTGTTACTACCTGCTCGGGGAAAACACTTCGGGCCCTCCCACCTTTCTGCCCTTCATGTTTTCTCTACCCAGAAGCTCTTCCCTTCCCCATCCCCTATGAAGCGGACCATCAGGCAAACGCCAAATCATCTTTCAACTTTCAGCTCAAATACTGCAACAGCCGAGAAACTTGCCCTGAAATCCCCAGGCATCCCCCTTCCCACGTTCCCACAGCACCTGGGCAAATCTCCGCGTGAACAATTATGTCAGGATATTCTTACTGCAAGTCTACTGCTCCTACCTCCTCCTAGACTCCAAGCTACTGGAGGGCAAGTTCCGTTCCTGCATTGTAATAAATCCTAGTGTCTAGCCGAGCACCAGGCCAGGTGCTACAGTATTTGTTGAAGGCATGAGCTAATATACAAAGGAGCAATCACCTACAACACGTGGCAGACTGTGATCAGTGCCAGAAGTAACATGAGCGCAAACAGGAGCAGAGGGAGGGACAGGCTGTGCTGAGGCTTCCAGGAGAGTTCACCCACCGGGCCTCCCTCTGGCCGCTTGACTAGGTATCTGTTCACAGGCACAGAAGTGGGAACACACAGAGTATGTATGGAGAAAGCCCTCGCCCTCATAGTAAATGAAGATGGAAGAGTGGAGGAACAGCTGAAGCTAGAAAATGTAAAATGGATTCACATCTATGAGACCAGTGGTCTCCACCTTGGCGACAGGCTAGAATTCTCTGGGGGTACTTTATTTAGGCAAGAGGGGATGGAAACCAGTGCACAAGGTGAGGGCTCGACTTAAGAAGGCAGCACCGGGACTTCCCTGGCGGTCCAGTGGTTATGACTTCGCCTTCCAGTGCAGGGGGTGTGGGTTCGATCCCTGGTCAGGGAGCTAAGATCCCCACATGCCTCGTGACCAAAAAACCAAAACATTAAAAAAAAAAAAAAAAACGCAGCACAGACAGTGCAGTTACATAAAACAAAGGCAGAGTAAACAGGAGATTATGAGGAAAGCTGGAGATGGCAGGCGGTGCGGACACCGACGGCTTCCATCTTCTCAGTGAAACGAGCAGCAACGCTAGGGGCTGAGAACAGATAAGGAAGAAACGCTGAAGGTTTGAGGGAGTAGCCCTCGAGAGCAGCCTAGGTGGGAGGGAGAGGGGGCTACAGAGGGGGCAGGGTGACGACTGCCTGGCGGCCCTAAGGGCTCGCTTGAGGTGCCTGGCCACACGCTTAAGTGGGAACAGTCAGTGCCGTTGTGTGTTTTTCTCCAGCCTCCTTCAGCCGGGGCGCAGGTGCAGACCATCACCGGATTTTCCCCACTCAGGTCACCTCCCCGGAGCGGTCCTTTCCGACCCTAAATCCCGAGGGCGTCCTAGTCGCAGACACCTGCTATCACATCACCCTGGCTCTGTGATCGCCCTGTGAAAACTACCTTCAGTCTTCTAACTTATCTTGCCTCCCCACCTCCGGCACCCTCCAATTCTCCCTCCGATTCAGGGCAGGAAATCGTCTGTGCGGCTCGCAGCCCTTCCCCGGGGCCTAACACAGTGCCTGGGCCACAGTAACCCCTCAAGAGGAAAAGACGCCTACAAAATCTAACTAAAAGTGTAACTTTTTAAAAAATAGGAAGAAACTACGAAATGATTCTTACTAATCTCTGGTCCTACACGTGAGGGCTGTAATTAGCTCGGAGGAGCAGATGCAGTCACGGGAGTGGACCAGCCACCTCCAACGCTGCTGCGACAGCACAAACTTGAACGCGAGGCCGGTGGGGGGGGGTCCCCTAATCCCACGTGCGGAGTGGCGGCCCCCCCTTCCCTCGCCCGGCCACACACGGCGTTTCCGCGGCCGCCCGGGCGCGACCCCGCACCTCTCACACCCGCGCTGGCCCTCAGCGCAGCCCGGACCCCGGCCCCGCCCCCGGCCGCCCCGCCCGCCGCCCACCCGCTCCTCCTCGGGCTCCGGCAGCGGCCCCGGACGTTCAGCACGCGCCCTGCAGGCCCGGCCCAGCCGCCGCGGCCCTCTCTCCGCGCCCACAGCCCCTCACCTGCTGCAACATAGCGGCCCACGCCAGCCCCACTTCCGGGAGCCACGTCAGCGCCGCAGCCGCCGGCCGGGTACCAGAACAGACGAGGCGGGGTCACTACGGGCCTGGAGGAGCCGGAATAACAGCGGCAACCCGACCCCACTTCCGCTTCCGGGCCCTCAGGGGAGGAGCAAGTAGGGGCGGGGCGATTCAGAGTG